AGACATCGGTCTTAGTTTAACAAAATCTGCCTACAAGAAAATCTGTCACCAAAGTACATAAACATATATTATAAAGTTACTGATTTTTACTGTATAATCAAACAAAGAGGGCAGATATAAATAAGTGTATTAAATTTTGGGGTATAATTAAAATTGTTAGATAGACATTTGGCACAATTTTTCTATTTATTTGGTATTATTCTATTAAATATTCTGTCTACTATAATAATATAAGCTTTAATTTGGCATACATTTAGTAGGATTAAAAGTTCATTGTACATAATAAAAACTGTTTTTTTAATAATGTATTTCTACTAAAGATTTCACTATTTCTATTTTCCTCTACTCTAACATTATACTTGATTCCTGAGTTTTTATACACATCATTAAAGAATAATGAAAAGAAAGACTGAAAGACATATAAAGCCAAATGAGTAATACCAGTCTTTCCTTTGTAGTATTGACCAAGAACTTCTAAATTACTTTATTTTGTTATTTTCACAGTTTTAACTTTAGCATTTGTCACATCCGTTTTCTCTTTTGTCCTTACTTTGCTTACTGTGGCAGTAACCTGTAAACAATAAATAGTAGTAACAGCCATTAGTCTGTACTGTAAACAACTTGTTTACACAACAGTGCTTGCAGTTGATTTATCCACTAACACAGAAATGCACTTTGAAAGTGTGAGAACATACAGTAACCAATTGGTTTACTGTAATATATACATCATCAGTTTTTGTTTGTCAAAGCAAGAGAGAATTAATAAATCAATCTATTTATGAGTACCATTATCTGAAAAAGTTATTAACTGCAAGTAAGCAGTCATTACGAATAATACTCATAGAATTTCTGTTCAACAGTTTTAGTATATTGATGATAATCAAAATCCAGAGTAGCCATTTGTGTCTCAACAAATCATGTACTGTTTCTAAAACCTATGATACACAACATATAATATATGTAATACACAACTGTAATGACTTCCAAGTAAGAAAAGGCTAAAAAATTACAAAGAAAAATATTTTCTACACAAAGAAAAACTTCAAGTAGTTACAAATACATAACTTTCATCTGATGATGAAGGGCTTGAAACTAAAGAACTTAATGCTTCTGTTTCAATGCTTATGAGAGAAGCTGTCTACAGAAATAATTGGCTGAGAAATCCTGAACTAGCTCTTCTTGATTCTGTCTTAGGGGCAGATCATGAAGCAGCTGATCAGCAAACACAGTCAAATGAGGCTGTTGGTGAAAATTCCAGGCCAATACACAAGGGAAATACACAAGCAGGAGGCAGAGCTCAGAAGAAAACAAGGGGAAGAAGCTTAACCCATAGAATAGCCTTACAGATGAGGCATCTCATCTGCAAAGACTCATGGACTTGGGTGAAAGTCATTAAAGAGAAGCAACCTCAAATAACACCCTTTGTTAGAGATGAGCTTGTGTTACCCTTGAGCTGACCAGGTAATTAGTATTCTTGAATTTTTTTTTAACTTTTCTTTTTAATTGAAATGTTTCAAATAACTGTAAATCAAACATACACAACTGATAAATGGTACAGAAGAATAAATCACCAAGTTAAAAAAAACTATAAAATGGACAGATTTCACTGTTTAGGATATTTTAGCTTACTTAGATGTAACTATAGGAATCAGTTGTAACTATAATCCTTCTATTTCAGACTACTTTCTTATGTATCATATTTTCTTTATTCCTTGAATTTCTAAGGTTTCCTCTCGGGATACATTTTTGGCTATATATAAAACAACCTAAAAATCAATAATAATGCTAATGCTCTTACTACAACTAATTATAAGCATAATTATTTTTTATTCAAAATTAGACCTGTTCTAGACCTTTTTTTGAAACGCTCTGTAATAAACAAATACAATATACTAGGACTTTTGATTATTTCTGGACAAACTTTATATTTTCCCTCAATTAATTCAGATATTAATGGCTGTTGGAATGTATGCTTATGGAACATCAGCATAAGCTATTTCCCAAGAGAACTCACTGCTAAACAACTACAGAAGGGTAACGAAATGTCATTCTGTCACTATAGCAACTGTGAAAGGAAGAGGCTATAATTATCTATATATATATATATATATTACTATTTTCTCATAGATGCTTAAATTTTACTTATTTTTGATAAAAATATAACTACAAATTAAATCATTATATAGAAAAACAAAAATTGGTAATACCCATGATACTATCAAATAGGTTTGCTCTTCTGTGTAAATTAGAACACACATTTCTTTCAGCCTCATTTGGTATACCTAAACAAGTTTCACAATTTTGGATGTACAAAAAATAATTTATGCAGTTCTCAAATAAACATTTAAGTGCACAAAAATATATGCTACTAGAATAAAGTACTCAGAACTACTATAATTTAGCCAACTTTCTAAGTATGTTAAATATAGTTTTAAAATGTCCAAAACCACTTCGGAGTAGCAATTTGTTCTTGAAGGTACAAGAAACTCTAATGACTGAATATCAGAGCAGGAAAGTAAAGACAATGAGAGACTCCATTGTTAGAGAAGAATATGTATGCTTTTTCTATTGGTTATAAACATGTCCAACAGCCTTGGAAAGTTTGTTTTGTTTTTGAAGTTAAGCACAAAGCTACACAATGGACTATCTGTGCTCTGCCCACCACGGGTATCGAAACCCAGATTCTAGCGTTGTACGTCCGCAGACATACCGCTGTGCTACTGGGGGTGCCTTGGAAAGTTGCTTAGAGAGAGAGGTAGGTTTGACAAATTTATTGATATCTGAGCAAATGAAGAAGGTAAAAGATGTATGTTCTAGAATCTTGCCTTGTATTTATATATAACTTGGGTTTCTAACTGATTTGAAACTGCAGCAGTCTATTATTGAAGTTACAAAATCAGAGCTCAGACCTGTCACATGACACAAAAATTAAGAGGAAGAAATTTTTTACTTGAAATTAAGAAGTTAAAACATATACAACATAAAAATATAATTTTTGAACTATGCTTTTACAAACATTTGCTGGTGGCAAAAAATTAAAAAGTTTATTTCTAGCCCTAATATATAACTAGTCATTTAATTTCCAAGAAGTATTGCATTTTTACATTTAATTTTTTTTCAATATTTTAGATCTATGTGTGTGATGATAATTGATTTTCTGAAATGAAATAGAAACAAAAATACAGTAAAAGAAAAACCTGAAACACTGCTTGAACATGCTTGTTTTCACTTGATATTTTGGACAATCTATAAGAAAATGCTTATCAATTGATTATCATAGTGCGACTTTTCCAATAAATGCTGTGCTTTCACAACTTTCTTGAAATAATTTCATCATTGTTTACATCTAGTCTGGATATCTATACTAATATATAATGGTTATATTCTAAACACTAGAACTTGGTAAATTGTTGCCAGCTAGTCACAATAATTTAAAGAATTTGACCAATGCAAATGATATTTACTTGAAAGTCTACGAAACAAAGATCTTTCAATGGCAGGAGTTACAAGGTGATAGATTACTGCAGGTTCCATATGTACAGAGTAAAGCACCTTATTCCAGAGGATACTCTTTTGTTGGAACATGCTGGCCTTTGACTGTTGTTCTGTGCATTACTCTTAAGCCTACATCCGAAGGATGGTACTGAGTCTCAGGACTTGCTTCATGACCCACAGCTAGGTTGTCAGAAATTATGAAATCACCTGGTTCCCACTAGACACAGAGGATGTATATGAGATAGAGGAAAGAAAACAAAAACTAGTACAGCATCAACTACTGAATTATTAACCTAATGAGTTAAACACACAGCAATAACAAAAGCTTGGTTTCAAAACTATGTATTCAAAATGTTTCAATAATACTAATCCAAAATTATTACTTCTAATTTACAATGTATTTAAAGTAATTGTTAGTTTAAGAAAAATCTTAAAAAAATAAGCAATGCCGTGTTCACCTTATGAGAATATTGAATAGCTTTATTATCTTTCACAAATTCCTGGTGGATTTCTTCAAGAATCTCGATTGTTTCAGCATCAGTTGTCCGGAGTTGTTGGGGAGTTTCATAATCCCATAAGAATTCTTTTGTCATTCCCAAGTGAAAACACATAACCTAGATTAAAAGAGTTCTTTATTACACCAATGTTACTTCACCAGCCCATACAAAAAAAAACGTCTGCAAAGTTCAAACATAGTTAAAAGTAAATACATTTAAATAGCACTTGTGCAATACATGTTTCGGTGTTCTTACACCAACATCTTCAGGTTGTTTATACTTTAATTGTGTATAGTTAAAGTAGTTATGGATATGAAGTGCAATTCAACATCACAGTAACATTAATAATAATATTCATCACTTTATTCCTAAAAAGCACAAACTTGGATCACTGATGGCATTTTAATTACGACATCATGCAGACCACTTTTCAAATAGTATTTAAAATAAAAATCTTGTGCTGGCCTCAAAAGCCAAAGTCTTTGTTTCAACACTTTAAAACACACATCAGAGATGTAACCTTTATAACTTTAGAGGCTTGATGGTATGAGTTTAGCTGGATGGTTCATATGTTAATTTCCCTTTCAACCAATGAAATGAGCTGAAGCTGCAGTTTCACTATCCAAATTTCCTGATACTTAGCCTGAGTATGTCATGTAGCTCCAGTTGAGATCACAAAGACTGCAAATCTGTCTTCTAAAATGTGTACCAGCAATACTCTTATAGTGTCTTCTGAGTTTTATTACCAAAACTGCAACACTTACTAGTTATTAGCAATTTGCTAATTTTACAGCATTAATTTCAAGACCTGTATATATATCAACAAACTAAGTACTTTTAACATAACATACAAACAAAAGAAACCATCTGGTCCTTCCACGTTATCCCTTCACAGCTAAACCCATGAAAACATAAAAATTAAACCTACCCTTTAACTCTTGTTACATTGCTATTTTCGACTTTCACTAATGGCAACTCATTCCATAAGTTATTCAACCTGTTATAAAAATAAAATTGTCTTAACTGGAGCCTAACTCATTTCTGCCATACCATAAACTTGTGTCTTCTTATCCTAATGCTTTCAGAACACAGCATCTCAAAACAATTTTATAAGCTCTAATAAGATTGCCTCTTACCTTTCTTTTCTCTAGAGAAAAAAAATTAAGATATTTTAACCCATCCCAATAAGATAATTCCTCCATTAGTGGAATCAGCCTAGAATCCCTCTTCTAAGTCCTTTCCAACAAGTCAATATCCTTGTTTAGGTAAGAAAACCAAATCTGTACACATATTCCAAGTGAAGCCTAGCTAGTTATTTGTATACAGAAATATCTACTGTACTTCTTAAAATGTCTATAAATATATAATAAAACACTATTAGTTTATTACTGAAACAGCACATTGCCTTGATGCCTTGAGTGATTTTAATATTACTCTGCTAATATCTTTTTTTTTCCAGTAATGCAATTAAGTGGGTTCCCACCTATATTAAGTGTGCAATATAAATCATAACCAAAATGTATTACCATGCACTTACCTACTATAATTAAACATCATTTTCCAAATGCTTATTTAAACAATTTATCAACTGATACAAATCATTGTGCATTATCTCAAAATTCTCAATACAGCTACAGTCCTCCAGATTTAATATCATTAAAAACTTTATTAATCCACTAATTATGCCTCTATCAATGTCCTTAAGGAAAAAAGGAAAAATCAAAGGTCTAAGAACTGATCCTTGAAGAATACCACTAGTAATACAAGTCCAGTATTTCTGGACTTTTTTAATAACAACTTATTCAGTTACCCTTTAACTCTTTCAAGAAGGGTCACGAGTGAAAGGCCATGTCATCTCGTTTGTTGACTCGCATTCAAAATTTTATTGAATTATTATTTCATGAATTTATGTTAATAACTTTGGTATCAATCTGTAGATTATAATTCAAATTTTAGTACTATATATTACTCAATTTCTTAATTTAAAAGCAAATGTTAAGAAAAACAGATAAATATCGATGTTTGTGTGTCACGTGGTATGCTGAGGGCAGCATTGGTTCAAATTAGATGTTTGTGAAGTCAAAATACTAAGTCTATATTTTCATATGAATTAGAAACTCAAATTACAGATATTGACAAGTTAGAATATAAAATAAGAAGGTCTTATCTTTTCTATTTGCTAAGATATTGCTCAAGTAATAAATCAAACATAGTGGCACCCTGCTCACCTCCTTCCTTATAAACACTTATTTCTATATATGACATAAATAACCAATCAGAAGCTCAAAATGTCCCCTTAGTGGTTTTCTAAGCCTTTTTAACACACCTAGCATAATTTATTTCTTTTAAATCAAGATTTCAATGAGGTAGGTTGTGTCTTTAGGCTGCTCGAAATTTCATATTGTTTTAGAGTAAAATACATCTTAGTTACAAAGCTTGATAAATTATTGTTGAATTCTATGGTATTGATCTAGTAATTTATGATTTTTAGTTATTCAAATGTATATATAAAACCTATAAAAAATATTTTGTTTCATGTCCTCCACATGCAAAATTTTTAAAGGCTCAGCAACCTACTTGAAGCAGCAACCGAGTACAAAGGTCATAACTAGAAGAGATATTTGTTTGCTTTACTTCTTTATTTACTGTTCTATGTTTTAGGATAAATATGTTTAAGAACTTATTTCAAAATACCAATAATCTATATACATATATAATGTATAACTATTGAAATGTGACTGTATTTTAAAAATACTAGTCTACTAAAACACAGCCAAGACAAGTTACTTTGCACAGACCAAAGGTCAGTTTTATGTTATTTGATACAGTAACATGAGTGCATGCGAGCCACATCATTGTAACTTCTGTATTGTTAGCCAAGCACGATTGAAAGGTCAATATAATAAAAATAATATATAATGTTATAAAATTTAAGCTAGAATGAAAGAGGCATAATCTGTGTTTATTTCCTAATATTTTATGGTGGTTGCGAGATTAGTCAAATCTACCAAACCTGTACAGAGATTAATTACTGAATATAACAGATAAAATATAAAGTTTTTTCTTAAGAAACATTTGATAACTATCTCGACATTATAAAGATTTTGCATGTCAAATTTTTAATCTTAAGATTAATATTACTTTGTATGATGGATAGGCAACATGCAAAAAGAAAAAACAGAGATGAGAAAAACACTGCTTTATAAACCTTAAC